TTTCACAAACTTACTTGGATAAATGATTGGGACTTGTGGTCTTCAGTGCTATATATAGCACATTTTAAGTAGGATCCTATTATATCGTTTCAGTACCACTTAATGTGTCTTGTTAATAGTTATGCTTCTGTTTCTTTCTGGTGGCTCCAGACTTCTAATATCTTAATGAATTAGTTATTGAATGTCCCATTTTGTTTATTGTACTGACTCACTATGTGTAATCTGCCTTGAATCCATGTGAGAAAACTGGACTATAAATAAATAAATAAATAAATAAATAAATAAATAAATAAATAAAAACTCTGGCTCTCTCTCTCACAGAAATTACAGACTTGAGGTTGGAAGGAGATCGTTGCTATGGAGCTAATTGTTTTATTACCTCACTAGTAGCAAAGCCTACTGTACAAGGAATACAATGAGCGCTAGCAAGATGTCGGTCTGGCCCTCCTCCGTGGCAAGTCTTTTAAAGGTGCCACAAGCCTTACCTCTGGGTTTCGTCATGCCTGGATTCTGCGCATCACCACCGAAAGGGCAGCAAAGTTACCTCCCCTCGTGAAGGGGGCACTCCGTCTCTTTTACCAGCCCGCCTCCCTCCCTCGAGAGTGGCAGCCCTCTCTCTGCAGAGCCCTGGCCAGAGGGGGAGAGAGAGCGCGCTCAGCAGCGTCTCTGTGAGAAGCGATGGGGGGAGGAGAAGCCTTTGTGCCCGGCCCGCTCTTTCTCAATGAACGGAGCCCTGGAGCCTCCCCAAGGTGCTCGGCCGCCTCAGTGAGGCGAGAGGGGGAGCTCCTCCAGTCACTGTGGCTGCCTGCCCAGCAGCCCCTTGGTGGCTCCTGCTGGGGCTTCCTCCACCTCTTGCCAGCTGCTTCCTGCTCCTCCTCCCGGCGTCCAGCTTTCCAGGAGCCACAGCTCCTTTCCTCTCAGGCAGACCCTCACTGCTGCTGCTGCTGAAGGAAGGCGAGGGAGCCTTTGAAAGGCGGCAGCCAGCTTTCTCTGCAGGGCCGCATGCTGAGCTCTCTCCCTGAGGAAGCACCAGTCTTGCGGGCGAGGGAGAGGGGCTGCGAGGGGCACTGAAGGTGAGTGCTTTCCGTGCTTGCCGCCACTCCCTAGGTCTGCCTCCTTCTCCCCTGCAGCCTTTCTGGCCAGTCGTCAGGGTCGCCTTATGAAGGCCCCTGCCCCTCGTCAGGGTCGCCTTATGAAGGCCCCTGCCCCTCGGCATCCCTCCTGGCGGCCCCTCCGTTTCCCTTTTCAGCTGTGGAGGGGTTGCCATTCCCTCCAGGGAGGGGAACCGAAGGAATGCCCGAGGAGGAAGCGCAGAGGAAAAAAGGGAATCTCTGTCGCTCATAATCAGCAGGGAGCTCTCCTGTACCACACCAGGTTGTGTCCTAAGGCTCCACCTGGTGGAGCATCCACCCCCTTCGCCGGCTCCCTCCAGACTGAGGCCAAGACGCTGGCCGCTGGCTCTGTGGGTGGGAGTGAGGCAACGCAGCAAGGCAATGCAGCCAGGGGATTGGCAGACCTTCCAAGTGGCAACTGAGGGAGCCAAATGCTGTAGGAGCATGTGGAACTTTTACCCCAAAACAGAATTATTATGAGAGATGTTTTATGGCCCTTGGCCTGCAGAAATCTGATTCTTGTTTGCCTCTCAGCAAATCCCTCTTAACATCTTGACTTAAAATTTTCTTAAAATCTATTTTCCCCTCTTTTTTATTTTACAATAACTGGCCCAATGAAGAGTTCTGGGGAACTCAAAAGCTTGCACACCTTGCTAGCTTTAGTTGGTGACCTCCATCTCAGCGTAGACAAAGGCCAAGCCTCTCTGCTGCTCTTACTGGATTTATCTGAAGCCAGTAGACATGCCATCTTGTTGAGGCACCTGGAGGCAGAAGTAGGTATCAGAGAATGTGTGCTGAACTGGTTCAAATCATTCCCCATGGATCAGACTCAAAGGGTTACTATGAGAAACCAGTTCTCATTGGTGTGGGAACTATCTGGTGCGATTCCAGAGGACACAATTCTCTCCTCCATGATTTTCAATCTCTGTGCAAAGCCCTTAGGACAAATCATTCATAGCTTTGGGGTAGGATGTCATCAATATGCTGATGATACTCAGTTCTATATATCTTTATCCATATCTCTTGGTAATGTGGTAAAGATCCTCCTGAATCATTGCCTGGTTAACTGGCTAAAAGTGACCAAACGGAAACTAAAGCCTGAAATTACAGAAGTAATGCTGGTTGGGAAAACAGATGCCTTGAAGGACATCGTCCTCCCCACTTTCGATGGAGTTCAACTGACCCTTGCTGACTCATTTAAGAGCCTTGGGTTTATACTGGACCAATGTTATTACTGAAGAAGCAAGTTCATGCACCTGCAAAAAAGGCTTTCTACCAACTCTGCCCCCTTACCTTGATATGGCTGACCTGGCTACTTTGATCCATCCCACAGTAACATCAAGACTAGACTACTGTAATGCACTGTACATTGATCTCCCCTCAAAATCAACTCGGAAACTCCAACTGGTCCAGAATGCCACTGCTCAGCTATTAACGGGAGCTATACAGAGCATGCCTATTACTCCCATTCTGCAGATGCTCCATTAGCTGCCCATCAGTTACCTGCAGTGTTCCCGCTAAGCTGAGTTAGTGTGAGCTAGCTCACAGTTTTTTAGCCTCCAGCTCACACATTTCTGTCGTAGCTCAGGAAGGAGGGCTCCAGAGCAAACTAGTTTATGCAGCAGCCAAATCGCTCGCTCACAACTTTAATGCCAGGAGCTCACAAAGTAGAATTTTTGCTCACAAGACTCCACAGCTTAGAGGGAGCATTGGTTACCGAGCTTAGTTAAGGTATGGGCTATCACATACAAAGCTCTTCAAGGCCTTGGCCCCTCTTATTTGTGAGACAGCCTCTCTCCCTGTGCTCCGCCAGGACAAATCCGCTCATGTCAGCAGGGGCTTCTGCAGGTGCCAGCCTACAAATGGGCAAAATCAACAGCTGCCCATACACGTGCCTTCTCCATCGTGGTTCATCCCTTGTGGAATGGCCTGCCTGAGGAGATCAGGAAAGCTTCCACTCTCCTGGCCTTCTGCACACTGTGCTAAGCTGAACTGTTCAAGAGGGCTTTTCTGCACAGCAGATAAGGTTGCACTGTAAAAAAAATGGTTTGCAAACTTACTTGGATAAATATTCGGGACTGTGGTCTATACTGCTGTGTACAGTTTATTGCAAATAGGATCCTGGTATGTAATTTCTATATTGCTTAATATGTCATGTTAATACTTATTCTATGCTTTAGTTCTTTCTGGTGGTTTTAGACTTCTATAATCCTAATGCATTAGTTGCTGACTGTCCCATTTAGTTAATTGTACTGACTCACTATGTGTTGTAATCTGATTTGAGTTCCTGTGAGAAAAACAGATTATAGCATAAAAAATAAAATAAAATAAAATAAATGGAAGTGTCTTTGGGTTGGTCCTAACAAAGGACGGGGATTGTGTTCTTAGCTTTAAGGATCTCCCTCTTACAGGGATGAGACTCCAGTGTCATGTGACCTCCTTTCATTGCTTTCAGGTCTGTGGGTCCCATGTTTGAAAGAGTTGGAAGCTACCACATTAAAGCACACAGCAAAGTTATTTCTTTAACCTGCCAGCAGATGGAGGTATTACATTAGCTAATTCTGTTAATTGGTGGGGTTCAATTTTAGCTGGTGGAATTGATGTTTTCGAGAAGGCACTTGTTAAAAGGGTTCTTTTTCCTTGAATGATTTCAGCAATCTTCACTGCCCAGGTAACTGGGCTGATGCTTGCCTTACCCTGCTGCACAGCTCCTGCCACTGTGGTATGGCAAGAGTTAGGAAGGCACTGTGGTTCAGTGGTACACTAACTGCTTTGCATGCAAAAGGTTCTAGGTTCAATCCCTAGTATCTCCAGCTACAAAAACCAGGTAGTAGGTAATGTGAAGGATCTTTGCCCAAGACCCTGATAAGCCATAGCCAGTGAGTATTTATTTAATTCATTTATATGCCCACCTTTCTCCTGAATGAGAACCCAATGGAATAACATTGTTCTACTCTCTTCTATTTTATCCTCACAACAAACAACACTGTGAAGTAGATTAGGCTGAGAGTGTGTGAATGGCCCAAGGTTACTCAGCAAAGTGGGGATTAGAAATTCGGTCTTCCAGATCTTAGCCTGGCACTCTAGCCGCTACGCTACACTGACTCTTGACAATACTGACCTTGATGGACTCAATATACGGCAGCTTCATGTCCACTGTGTTCCAATCTAGCTCTAGCAGTGCCGACTTCCACATGCCTAGTTGAGGCAGAATGTGGTGGGGGTGTGCACTGTTATCTGTTCTGTCTCACCTAATTAACCAAGAGACATTGGAATGGGGAGAAGAAAGGGTGCTTCCCTCCAAAAAAATATTTCCAGGGGTATGTTTAGCAAGCCAAAGGGAGTGAAATTGTTCACAAAAACTCTTCCCCACCACATAAAGGCTGTTTCAGCTAAGCACGTTAAAATTGCCACTCTGTCAGAGGCCACTGAAATTGGGAGTGCACTGACAGTCCTAAGCAGATACCCAAATATATCAACCCTAGAGAAATGTCAACCCTAGAGAAAGCAAGAAGGTAGAAAAGGATTAAAGAAATGATACACTTTGGTAACAGAAGGCCCTCAGTACCACCAAGACCATGAGTAGTCACCAGCCTTGGGCAGAGAACTATACTTTATTGGAACCGCTCCAGTAAGACAAGTTTGGGCAAGCGTCTGTTGTACTCTTCATTAGATGGCTAATAAATGCAAAGTTGGGGGGGGGATTGCTCCGTGCAACCATTAGCAGAAATCACATTGTGCCTTGTAGATTACCCTGTTAACACCACAACACCAATACATTTTCTGACAGCCACTTGCATTTTACAGCAGATTTCTTATCTATACAGCAGACCAGAAGCACCATACACATTCTTAAGCACCCAGATTCACACACACATACACACTTACCATTTCTTCAATATAAGGGAAAAGCATGTCTCCAAAACATTCTGTCGATTCTATGGGAAGTTGAGCTGGCAAGTTATCAATGGAACACATCAAAATCCCAAGTCCTTCCACACTGAAAGAGAGGACAATGGGATTCCATGTCATGCAAGTACTTGGAAAGACCATCAATTTATTCATTGTAATTAGGCTTGCCAATCTCCAGGTGGTATATCAAAATGAGAGCTCACGGGAGGAGATTGTGTCAATATGAAGACACTCCGTGAATCAATTACGAACAAAAGAAGAAAGATTATATTGTACAAAACAATTCAAACAGTTTTAAATCTTTGTTAAAGTTCAACAAACCCTTATATGTTCTTAAAGAGCTAGGATCAAACAGTACTTGATACAAAGGGGAAACTGTAAATGAAGCCCACAAATCCTTTGTATGAACAGCTTCAGGAGGACAAAGGTCACAGGTAGAACTTGCATTACTGTAAACAGTTATGTCATTTAAAGTGAAATTATCACTTTCCCACATTATCTTACAGGCTTTACATTTTAAACAGCATCTGTGTCCTTCGGACTGAGTCCTGTGAAAGTGCCTTTGTTGTGTATTTTATTCAGTGTGATTGTCCAGTTATATATTGGAAGTATCACCAGACCACTGAAATTAAGAATTACTGAACATATCACAAGAAATAAATAACAAACAAGGGAAGCCCCACTTACAGAGCATTTTGGCCTCTCAAAACCACAAAGAAGACCAGTTTAGATGTGGTGTGCTCTTTGTTGCAGACTCAAAATTTCCATTGGCTATGAAGGAATTTCTTCGCCAGGAACACAGGTGGATCTTTAAATTAAACACCTTGATCCCTAATGGTTTAAACACTGATTTTGATTTAAGCTGTTTCTTATACATTTCTGTTGGTTGTATACAAGTATGTTGTTCCAGGTCAGTTTCCCTTCTTTTGGTTTACCCACCAGTTTCATTAGAAATGTTATTCTTAGAATATGTAAAAATACAAAATAGGATATTATGTACTGATGTAAATTGTGTCAGAATAATGTGACTTCAGGTTGTCAGTACATACTTAATGGTGATGGCTGAGTGTTAACCACCACCACCACCATTGTAGAAGCCTAATTAGGAGAAAGAGAACATGTCAGTGGGGCGATTGGATTTGGAAAACTAGTTTAAGGAGAATTGTTGAATCCAGAGAGCCAGTTTGGTGTAGTGGTTAAGTGTGCGGACTCTAATCTGGGAGAACCGGGTTTGATTCCCCACTCCTCCACGTGCACCTGCTGATGTGACCTTGGGTCAGTCACAAGCTCTGGCACAGCTGTTCTTGAAAAAGAGCAGTTTGTGTCAGAGTTCTCTCAGCCCCACCTACCTCACAGGGTGTCTATTGTGGGGAGGGGAAGGGAAAGGAGTTTGTAAGCCGCTCTGAGACTCCCTTGGGTAGTGAAGGGCGGGGTATAAATCCAATCTCTTCTTCTTCTTCTTCATTTCAGTAAGTATGTATGTTCTGACAACTGGGGATGCAGTAAATATGTTATAATATAGTGGATGTGACATAGAAGTCTATTTTCAGTTTCACAGCCAAAAGATACCAGCTACCTGAAGGAGCGAAAAGCGATCACGGCATTGAAGCCAGGCGTGCATAGCTGCTACTCCTGCAGACGCAGAACCTTTGTCCTCCTGAAACTGTTTATACAAAGGATTTGTGGACTTCGTTTAGAGTTTCCCCTTTGTATCAAGTACTGTTTGATCCTAGCTCTTTAAGAACATATAAGGGTTTGTTATATACAAAGATTTAAAACTGTTTGAATTGTTTTGTACAATACAAATCCTTCTGCTTTTGTTCGTAATTCATTCACAGAGTGTCTTTATACTGATACAATCTCCAGGTGGTGACTGGAGGTCTCCTGGGATTACAACTCATCTCCAGGCAAACTGACAGTGGCTGCTTCGGAAGCTGGACTCTCTTCCATTATAACCCCACCGAAGTCCTTCCCCTCCCCAAACCCCGCCCTCCTCAGGCTCCACCCCCACTCACCTGTCATGAATAATGTGCTGGTCGGCATCATACATGCAGAAGGGGCTGTCGATCGTGGTACATTCCGTCATGAATTCTATTGATCCACCAGTGTCTGCCGAAATGTCACAAATTGCAACGAGCCTAGAAAAGTTGGGTTTACAACATATATCCACAGCCAAGAAAAGATTTTCAGTGGTTATATAAACAATCCCCTAAGCATTCCATTATGTGTTACCATTGGTTTAAAAAGTAATTCTAGAATCCTGAGTTTAAACCCCTTCTCACAAGAGTTGTGCCACAGAAGGAGGAAAGAGGAAAGGAAAGGAAAGAAGGAAGGAAAGAGGGAATAAAAAGAGAGAAGGAAAGAGGGAAAGAAAGAGAAGGAAAGAAGGTGGGAAAGAGGGAAAGGAGGAAGAAAGAGAAGAGAAGAAGGCGGGAAAGAGGGGAAAAAGAGAAGGAAAGGAGGGAATGAAAGAGAGAAGGAAGGAAGGAAGGAAGGAAGGAAGGAAGGAAGGAAGGAAGGAAGGAAGGAAGGG